CCACATCTATACAAAATGTAGCATTTCAACCAACAGTAGAACGACACATAGGCCTAATATTATTATTGTTGTTTTATCATATATTTGAGAACAACAATAATAATAGCCTACTCATGTCAACCTTTATTTTACATCTACACAATCGTGAGAAAATCATGATCTTGATTTTAAGCCAAAAAAAAAAAAGCTGATGGACAATAAAAACAGAAGAGAAAATCTTGTAGACTCGAGTTAAACTGTGCATGACAAGCATGAGTGACGTTTTCAGAAAATACAAATTTGCTTGATTTTTCACCACAACTTGCTACAAAAGCACAGTACATGAACTGTATGTGGCACCCCTTTGCCGAGCTCTTGTTTTTTATTTTTTATTTATGGCTGCCAAAACCACGCGGTAGATATTTGGCACAAGAAGTTCAGTTTAAGCTCTTTTTAAATGCTCTTAATATCACTTAGATGAACAATCGATGCAAGGCAAATTTAACATGATTAATGAATTTGCACCGTGACACCAACATCATACTCTCATTACGCTCGTTATACTAATCGCTACAAAAACACAGCATGTCCCACTTTTTAAAACTTTCCAAATAAAAGCCCTGAAGTTGATTCATTTTATTTTAATACCGTGTATTTGAGTCTCTTATACATTATTCAGAGACATAGAGAGCCACTTTGTGAAGCATTATGAATAATCAATAAGCAAACCTCAGTAATACATCTTATAAAGAGATCATTTCTCCCTTGACTGTAGAGCAGATTATAATCATACAGACGGTAAAGTGCGATTTCATACGGACCTCCGGGTGAGGTCAACTGTGTCTGGGGGCTAAACGTTATTGACTGAGTGCTTCAGCATCTGCTTGTGTCCTTGTGTGATGCTGACTCCATTTGACCTCTGCACACACATACACACACACGCGCACACACACACATTCAAGGTGAGGGTTGTAAGCTTTGTGTTTTACCCTGATGGGACTCCAGGGCCCTCGTCTATCACACTGTTACACTCACAACATCCATAATTTACAGCTGAAGATTCAAAGAGGAAGCATGTTTACAGTGCAGGCTTGTTTCCTGTGTGTTGGTGGACATTTCAGCACCTGCGTTGCGAACCATGATGTGCAAGCGCATGTCTGTGTACTAGCTTGCATTAGCAAATGCGGTTTTGACATGAATGAGGTGTTGGAACTGATAATTTCTGCTGTCTGAGTTGAAGATAAAGATGTGGCTGTGGTGAGTTGACATATAGTTCAAGGAAATTAAACGGAAACATGTTTTGTCATGGTAGTCTGAAAGTTATGACTGTAATGAAGGCCATTTGAGTGCAGTTAGAATAACTATATGATTCAAGTTCTGAAAGGCCAAAAAATCCCTGTTTGGGTTTTCACTTTTTATATTTGTAAGATTTTTTTGCCATTTGATCAATTTTTTTGAAGTACTGTCAATTGATTTTAAGTTATGTTTTAGGCACAATAAAAACATTTAAAACACATTTGGTTGTTCTGAAGCAGGGGTGCACAAACGCTTGCTTATGAAGGGCCAAAAACCAAACTTGATTAAGGCTTGTGGGCTGAAGGTAAATATAGTTGCCATGGGAATTTTTCTTCATTTATTTAATAATATTTAAAAATAACTAGTAAGCAATTAACTAATAAATAATCAATTAAATTAACTAATACACCATAATTGTTTTTACAATTTATAATTAACTTGTTACAGTAAAACAACAAATCTCATAACACTCATAACACTTACACTAGTTTTTGCCTTGATTTGCTTATTGGTGTCTTCTGCATAGTCCTCTGTTGTCGAGTGACAGTATTTACATTTTTAAAAAAATCTGATTTATTTACATTTAATTGAAACAATAAATTCATTGAGCTTTTTTGTAGGTCAGCAATAAACAAACAACCAAAAAAAGTTTGTTAGCTGGGATGGTGGTCCAAATGAAAGGTTACAATGGGCCAACTTTGGCCCTCGAGCCCTACTTTGGACGTCTCTGTTCTTAAGCATCACTGTGATAGTTTGTCACTGATTGAATATGTTTTGAATTAATTAATTATTTATCAATCCATTTATAAAAGTAGTCATTTGCTTGGTTTCTAATTGAATTGACCATTTTGAATGAATCAATGAAATCAAGGATTCATTGAATCACCCATAAAGTCTGGAACTTGCCTCTCACTGCTGTTTTAGTTTTCAAAATTTTTAATCCATCAGTCTATTATGGCAAGTCATTTTATGTATAGTTTAAGCACCAAAAAAACATTCAAAACATATTTATGTGTTTTAGATCATTAACGCGGTAGTTTGTCACTGATTGAATATGTTTTGAATGAATCTATTGAATCAATTATTTTACAATCCATTTATAAAAAGAAGTCATTTGCTTGGTTTCTAAATAAATCAATCGATTTGAATGAATCAATGCAATCAAGGATTCAGGACTCATTCTGTTTTATTTTTCAATTTGTTAATCCATCAGCCAATATACCAGTACAAAAACACAAAATATTAAGTCATCATCGTTATTATTATTACAAAAAAATAGAAATAAGGTTTACAAAGAAATACAAAGATTTTTTTGGTCATTATTTCACACCCCTCCTGGAAAGATTAGTTATAAACAGTCAGCATTTGGGATAAAAACCACATCTACTTACACTTTTAAGTTTCAACATTCTATTTACATAGCAGCTTTATAATAGAGTCCTGTTTTTTAAGCCAACAGGATCTCCGGGAAAAAAGATATCCAAAGATGCAGTTTTAAATTGTGAAGAAATCTGTGCTTTTAAAACTAATGAAGATAGCAGAAGGCAATAATTCATTTGAAATATTTAGCCTGACATGTTTACTGTCAAAGGGGCTAAGCCGAAAAGAAAATGAATAAATAAATAAACAAATTAATGTTTACTGTCCCAAAATATTTTAAATATTTCTTTAAATATATTGTATGTGTCCAAAATCGCCCTCTACTCAGAAGGTACTGCATTTGAATTTGAATTGACTACTCAACAGTATAAATGTGATTAGTATGAATGGAGCTTCGACGTACTGATGCCATTTTGTTATCATCATGTGACACCCGTTTCACTCCCATTCATGAATTCTCTCATGGTGCATCCCTTCAGAATCTCACCAGAAGTAGTAGGTTACGCGGGTACTTAAAACATACTGTTTTTCGAATTCTAGTATGAATTTAAACATACCCCTCGGCTAAATCTTATCACCGGCCCATGCCTACTACACCTATCAAAACATGCTACACGCACATTGACATAACCAACTGCTTGTCTGGTAAATGTCTTTTATTTCTTTAATAAAAAAATGGTTGTGAGTTACACCTATAAATTAACCCAAAAATGTGAATAAAACTGTATTAATGACTCAAACATGGGGCCGACAAACATATTCAGTTGCGTAAATGTTCATTATGTGTTTAAAGCTGGGATGGGCAATTCCAGTTCTGGAGGGCGACTATCTTTGAGTTTAGATCCAACCCTAATAAAACATACCTGGAAAAATATAACCTATATCTCCAGGATTGCCAGAAAATTACAGGCTGTAGTGTTTGATTATGGACTACACTTTGAAGAATAGTGGTCCTCCAGGACTGCAGTTTTCCATTACTTTTAAAGGGAGTTTTGAGGGAGTGTACTTGCAGGATCATAAGAAGACCTAGTCCAAATGCATCTGGTTGTTCAGGCGACATATAAATATAACTTCTAACAAGAAATACAAGGGTATAATATAGGGGTGTCCAGATTTAGATTTTTAATCGAAATCGATCTAAATTTATGCTCAATTTCGATTATCGAATTAAAAAATAGAATCGTCAATGCTGCCACGCCCCCATGTCACGTCAGCTTGGCTTGCCAAGCGTGAAAAAAACGGCTTGTTGAAGTGCTTGTTAAACTGCAGAAGCAGGAGACCCATCGACAGAACTTAAACCCTCTCCTCTTTCAATGAAGTCGTCGGTGTGGAAGCATTTTGGATTTCCAGTGAGTTATGTTGACAACGTTCGTGTTGTCGACAAAAAAAACACAGTTTTGCAAGCTCTGCTATGTACGTATTACGTACGATTCGTCCGATAGACAACACCGGCATCGCGATCCTCCGCCCGCCCCCGTTGCAAATCCGCTCGTGAAAAGTACACGTTCAGGCCCTGTTTACACTGTCTTTGTTTTTAAATGGCATTTTAGAACGACAACGATTTGACATCCACAGTGGCGTGTAGCATTTCTGAGCAGCCCTCCTTCCTCTCTACCTCTGAAAATGCACATCACGTGACCACACAGACACAGACGCACACAGCCATGCGCTCGAGACAGCAGGTCCAGGCAGTCAGAGGACTGCTTCAATCTTTCACTCACTTGTACTTAGTCATTTTAGTGAACACCTCAGATACTGTTGGCTGGTTCCTGTTGGTTGTGCCTCTTTTTCTACCGACGCCATTATAACGACACAGATCACTGCCTATTCACGAGTCCTGCAGAAAAAGTGATTGACAGGTGGTAATTATGTGTGTATCTTGCCTTTATTCATTTACTGTATGATTTGTTTATAGGTAAAACAAAGACCATGCAGGTCAGGTAGTTTAAACGGTAGGCTACAAGTAATTAATTGGTCATTAATTAATTAATTATAATCGAAAATCGAATTGTGCCTTTAGAATCGAAAATGTAATCGAATCGAGGATTTGGAGGATCGTGACACCCTTAGTATAATAAAATATAGAAGACACAGATTCTTCATTGAGGAGTATAGCTGCTGAAATTCTTGCTGCCTAGCATTAGCATCATCACAGAAGTAAACTATGTTTGCACGTAGCATAAGAGTTGTAGATCAGATTTATATTTGATTGTGGAGACATATTTATGTGGCAGAGTGTAAATGGATTGTACAAACTCTATTGAACAGCAACCCGATCGATCAAAACACATAAAGGGTCTAGGTGTAAATGTGCTTTAAAAGTGTTTGTTCTGTGGTTGTTTCAGGTGAGCAGAGGACTGTGGAAGGAGAAGAAGAGAAAGAAGAGGATTGTTAGCCGTCTTGGGACAGGGACACTGAAGATTTTTGGGGTATTTATTACAGAAGTCACATTTAGGCCGTAACTCTTGTTGAAAGAAAGGATGTTTCAGTAGTTTAAAAAGTCACACTAATTATATTTTAGTAGTCCAATCACAGTGGAAGAATGGCAAGGGAAATACCACAGTAAATGGATATTTTAAGTTGGTCACACAATTGCTGATGACTTTTATTGACGTTTGACCAAAGAAACTATACCTTTAAAGTGGAAGTGAAGCACTCAGTGAAGTTTACATTGTACATTGGCTTCCACTTTAATGAAATTAAATTACATAAACTCAATTATTGTGCCCATTTAGAAGAAAACGACATGTTGTACTCTAGCTTTTAGACCTAGGGGATCACAATCTTGGAATATCGCTGTGTCTGAGGTCACAAGGTTGGTTCCATTTTCTCAGCTGAACAGATACAGTGGAAGTAAAGGACTGAACACAGAGACTGGACAACCTAATTTAACCCAATGCCTGAAGTTGTGGGTTTGGAGCTGGTTCAAATACTAGTATCAGATGTGTGTCTAATATATTCAAAAACATTTATTTATTTATTTTTTACTTTTTTTTTTTTTTTAATACCTTTTGTTTGATGCGCTATGGTCGAATCTCTCATGCTGGTGCAGCGTTGCCTGACAAGGGCATTTAAAATCACACTAATGCAATGATTAAAATGATACATGACTTCTTGCTTTACTAAGTCACAACTTTGTGGATTATGTCATGACATATTCACTTTTCAAGTTCATCAACTCTACCTCTCAACATGTATGACGGATGTAAAAACCTGCCATGTGGAAAAAAAACAGATTTTAGTTTGGTTTGAACACGAAAAGAGGCTAAGGGGCTGCAGTAGTAAAAAGTGAAAGTACCCACTACTATTACATCAGTACCGGACCTTGTTGAAACCATGGTTAAAGCTCAGACAGGCAGTCAGGCAGCGTAATACAGAAAGTGGACCAAAGCGCATCAAACAATCTGTAATTAAAAAGGAAAAAAGAAAAATAGAATATATAAATATATATACATACAGATGGAGTCCGAATTATTAGCCCCCCTTTGAAATTTTTTTTCTGTTTCAAATATTTCCCAGATGTTGTTTAACAGAGCAAGGAAATTTTCACAGTATGTCTAATAGTATATTTTTTTCTGGAGAAAGTCTTATTTGTTTTATTTCGGCTTGAATAAAAGCTGTTTAAGCAATTACTTGCCTAATTACCCTAACCTGCCTAATTAACCTAGTTAAGCCTTTAAATGTCACTTTTAGCTGTATAGAAGTATCTTGAAAAAATATCTAGTAAAATATTATTTACTGTCATCATGGCAAAGATAAATCAGTTATTAGAAATGTGTTGCAAAAATCTTCTCTTCGTTAAACAGAAACTGGGGAAAAATAAACAGGGGGGCTAATAATTCTGACTTCAACTGTATATATTTTTTTATTAGACACACATCTGATGCTTGTATTTGCACCAGCCCCACGCTTACAACTTAATGCATTGGGTTAAATTAGGCTTTCCAGTCTCCGTGTTCAGTCGAGTACTTTCACTGTGTCTGTTCAGCTGAGGGAACGGAACCCACCATATGACATCATACACAGCGATATTCTAGGATGGTGGTGCGCTAAGTATAAAAGCTATAGTAAAACATGTCGTTTTCTTTTAAATGGTTACATTAATCGAGTTTGTGTAATATAATTTCATTAATGTGGAAGCCAATGTACAAAGTAATAAACTTGACTGAGTGCTTCACTTCTACTTTAAAGGTATGGTCACTTTAAACAAACTTCACCAAAATGTCATGGGCAATTGTGTGAACAGCTTAAATCCATTGCAAAATATTTGTTGGAAATTGATGTAACCACTTTGAAGAAACAATGCCCTAGCTTTTAAAGCTAAGGTGTCGTTTCTTCAAAATGGTTGTGTTGGTATGCTAATCGAGTATATATATTAAATTTATAGACCTCATTGAAGTGGAAATCAATTTACAAAATAATGTATACTTCGCTGACTGCTTCACTTCCACTTTAAACTTGGATGTGCTTTACTTTCTACTATACACATTTAAAAAATGCTAGATATATTGACCCTTTTCACACATTTTCAGGTTTCTCAGTAGTTGAAGTCGTCATGCAATGAATAAGAGAGTACAACAAATTATTTTTTTTTTACAATCCTGTTTGCTAAAATAGCAAAAAAAAAAAAAAAAAAAAAAACTCTTAAGACGATGTTATCAAGACTTTCAGAAAAAGGAAAAAAAATTGTGGAAGACTGATATTGACTGCCAGAAGAGAGAACAACGTCAAATTTAGAAACATTAGAAACACCTCGCATAAGCAGTAACTAGTATTTTGTAATTTGATGCAAAGATGATAATATACAAACGTAAATACAAATAAGTGTTCGTATGCTCTATTAAAAATGCTAATGATCATTAAGCGCATCATAACAGTGTTGTGAAAAGGGTCCATTATTTGAAATACTGAGACTTTGTCACATCACTTACAAATTGATACTCCTATTAGTTCAATTGCATATGTTGTTATTCTCATTTGTCAAATTAGATAAAAGCGTCTGATAAATAAAGAAATGTGCACTTATACTCCATCAAAGTGAGCCAATTGCAGTGGTTGCTCTTTGGCTGCCTGCTTGGTTTATATCCTATTGTATGAAACAATCACTTGACCTTGTTTCCTAGAGCATCTTATTCTCTCATGCCACAGTGACACATTTGATCTTTATTTAAGCTGATATGCTTGAGGTCAGAGTTGCTAGGACTGCTGCTATTATCGCAGTAGTGCACTGCAGCCTATTGCAATAATGCTAAGCAATTATTGATAAGTCATAGTGTTTAATTAGCAGTCCTAACAAAAGCCTCAATAGGGAGCTGTTCTAGTCATTACTTGGCATACGGTCTCATTCCTGGTGCATCACTGAGGTTTTGACTCACTTAAGGGGTGAACTCCAAAGCACAGAATTCACAGTGGGCTGTTTTGCATTAAGGTCTTGTCATGTTTTGTACCAGTTTTATGACTAACCATTAATCAAAAATTGTAAACACAGGGTAACACTTTAGTTTAAGTACCAATTCTCTCTGTTAACTACTGGCTTATTACTGGGCTATTATTTAGACATTGGCTGTTTATTAGTATGATCTTATTCTACATCCTTAATTCTATCCATTGCCTAAAACCAACTGCTACCTTACTATTAATAAGCAGCAAGTTAGTGACTTTTTTTTTTTTTTTTTTTAGCTAAAAGTTTTAGCAATAGTAAGGGCAACACATGTTCACTATTAACTATGATTTCTGCCACCAATAAACTGCAAATCTTTATTTTTTTTTTTAAGTTAAGTTGCTGTAAAAGTTAAGTTTAGGTCGTGGATAGTACTAGGGCTGAACAATATATCGTTTGAGCTTCGATATGTCAATGTGTGTATTCGGCTGTCACAATCCCGGATTAGATTGTTTATTAAGATTAAAAGATAAAGATATTATTAAAGACTATTTTAATATTATTGTATACTAAATTTTATTCAATAATTACCATGATATTTTAAGTTTGATTGTTTAATTTCAATATTTGAATACTAGACTTCCCAGAAAACTATAAAACAATTCAATTCATGTTTATTTCTTTAGCACTTTTACAGTGTAGATTGTGTCAAAGTCGCTTAACATAGAAGTTCTAGTAAAGTCCAGATTTTATGTTCAGTTTAGTTCAGTTCTGTGTAGTTTAAATCACTGCATCAGACAATCCATTGATAAGCAGCTCCACAAGTCCCAAACTAATCAAAGTGGTAAGGTAAAACCTTCACCAACTTACGAAGTGAAAGAAGACAAAAAAAAAAACTTAAGAGAAACCAGGCTCTTTTGGGCACGACCATTTTTCCTCTGGCCAATCTACCTAAATAGAGCTGCAGTCTAGGCGCTGGAGGCTGGAGAACATGGGATGTCTACTGTGGAGAAATGCAGGTATGAGTAGGTCACCTGCGGGTGATCAGGGTGGCCCAGTGCGGGGACTTGTCTGTGGTCTTTCAGGAATCAGTCTCATGCACTCCACTCCTCCATGAAAGCTGCTAGTTAAAAGTGAAAATCACTCCTCAAATCTTCTCCATACTGTCACAATCAATGAAAATTTACGAAATTACAATTTCAGCTAAATGTTGATTTTGTACCTCCACCAAAGCTTCTCTTTAATCTAGCTTTATATTGCAGTTGAAGTGCTATGTTTTAAAAAGACACTGACCTTTTTTTTCTTGGCCCAGAGAGCTAAAGAATGTTGGATAAAACACAATGCTCATCACCGTCACTTAATAGCCAGCTGTCCAATCACTGTGGTGGAGGGGCTGGGCAGAAACCATCAGTTAAAACTCTGTAGCTTCTGCAGCAATATACAGTGTACAGTACATAATCTGCAATACTATGTGCTGAATCCAGCTGTACATTTCCTGTGTTTACAGTCAACTAGAGACCAAGGCCTTGACAAAATCCCCTTTGGAGCGTCTCAGGAGATCTGAGAACTCCCTCAGCTACCATCGACCTCGTTATAAAATAGACAGCTGTTTCAGTCAACTTTTCAAAACAAAATATTCCTTTAGAATGCACATGATATTGAATACATTTTCAAAAATTACTGTCTGTTCGTAAAGTGTGGACTGAGATGGCTTTTAAATACGCAGCATCTTAATCTACAAAGTTGCAGTTTAAAGATTTGATTTTACTAAATGCTTTTAAAGAGTATAAATGATTTAGAAACTGAAACACAGGCTTGTAGATGTTTTGAATAGTTTGTCATTGTGATTCATGTTAACTGTTGTTTCTTGTTTGTTAGACCCATGTGACGTGTATTGCCTAATCTTGGCCTGGACGCTCTTGTAAAAGAGATTTTTAATCTCAATGTGGGTTTCCTGGTAAAATAAAGATCATAATAATAAAAATAGCAACTCACACTTTCTTCAAAGCTTTTGCAAACGTTTTAAAGCTGCACATCAATAACTGACAG